TTATACTTTTTAAAAAAGTAATTTTTGAGAATATGTTAAATATCCAAATAAATAAGCAAGGAATCTGCCACCAGCCCCGTTATTTCATTAAAATATGACGATCTTCTCTACTTAATATACTTTTTGCAAACTTCGTAAAGTTAAAATATTAACAAAGCTACATTCTTCAATTATTATAATGCCAGGTGAAGTTCACTTTAATAAAATTTTAATTTTAAGTTTAGTTACAAACCTTCGACATTTTCAATGAAGAAAAATCGTCTCTAAATAACTTTAGAAATCTGTTATTAATGTTACTAGATAGTGTGATAGTGCAGGAGACTGCATATAGGATGAGTTTTTCGTGTACCAATTTTTTTATGTGAGGGATTACTGCCCAGGTAGCAAGCACACGTCATTTTGACGTTCCAAACTAGTCATTTTTGGTCATATATTGTCAAAATGACTGATTATTGTTACATGATTATTGTTACATGACTTTATATTGACGTCTTGCTGTAACATTATTTTGATGTCATTTTTCAGTCATGAAGTGACTATTATTTTATTATGAATGTCATTAGTTAGTACATCGATCCCATAAAAAAAATCTTTTAAAATTTTTTATATGACATGACTTATTTCGCGATCAGACTTTTTATATATTTATATATGTATATATATATATATATATATATATATATATATTTATATATATATTTATATTTATATATTTATTTATTTATATTTATATTTATTATATATTATATTTTTATATTTATTATATTATATTTATGAAATAGAGAGATGAATTGAAAAGTTTAATATTACTGGCAATAACGAAAGGAATATTACTGAGATATTACTGAAATAGTCAAAATTATTAACTGATTCTTTCTATAAAATATTACTGATTTACAGCGCTGTACTTATATAATAATTACTGTAATCAGTGATTATTTACTGTTTTTCAGTGATAATACACTGATTCACTTTTAGAGAGTGCTTTATTCGACAATATTATTAAATATATTAAATATATTATTATGCTAAGAGAAAGACGTCAAAATGCAGTACATGTCATGATGTTAGGAATCTGTGACATTAGATCGTCACTTTTACGTCTTAAAAATGTCAATTCGTGACGTCAAGAATAATCAGTGAATGACCAACTTGAAACATCAAAATGACGTGTGCTTGCTACCTGGGTGATTGCAATTGCAATAAATTAATCGATACATAGGTAGCAATTATTTGGATAAGTATTACATTCGATATGCATGGTCGATTCAAATAATTGACATCTATAGGTACTTTCCGATTCACACATGATGCGCATAAAGTGACAGAAAATGTATAATAATATGCGTAACATGAACTATACATTTTCTGTCACTTCATGCGCATCATGCGTGAATCAGAAAGTATATTATGTACCGATCAATTCATTCCAATTACAGTCAGTAATTTCTTGCATGATAAAAAAATTATATATCTCTCGTTGTCACGAGAACACAGCGCCTCTTTCGTCAAACGTGCGACCCGTACAAGAAAAATATGTAAAGAATGTAGCTAGCCACGATGGTGACGTTTCTTAATCGAAAAGTTTCACATTGAGACTTTGCATCGTTATATTTCTGCTTATAGAGCATATAGAGCAAAAATAAAGACTTTCCTTATATAAATCGAACCCAAGCAATTGATTGAACCTAATAAGAATTTGATCGATTCAGCGCTTATTGAGAACCGATAATATGCATTACTCGCAACTTAGCTATTCGCGTAAAGATACACGGTGTGTCTTGCGCCTGAGTGATGATGACTCGACTTCAAGACACTACCGTGTCTCTTGATAAACTTCCTGAGGTTTGAGGATCATACACAGAAATTCAAGACTAATTGTACGTTATTTTCACCATTTATACTCTTGCCTTCTTGAGAGAAAGTGATACAAAAGTTTTGATTTTTCAATCTTTTAAAAAATTTTTTGAAATTTGTTAACATAACTGTTCGTCAGACGATTATAACGACATACACCTCCAACTTTGTTTTTCATGGCAATGTAAGTTTTCTCTTAATATTCTTTCTTAATAATCTTTATGTCTATTTAAACTTTTAAATTCAGCATAAGTTGAATTATATAAATTACATTGTATTTTTGTATATTTTTTCTTTAGTATTTTCGGGTTCTTGTTTTTAATTTTTTAATTTTTTTTAATTATTTAAATATCAATGAACTACATATATTTAGTCTTTTATACTTACGACAATCATTGTTTTATAATATTGACTCTCTTTTTTCATTATTTATTCATTTTCATATTATCTATTTTTATTTGTCTAAACCTAATATTATTTTTAATTTCATGCTTTATTGACGTTTTAACAACACTTACATTGCTAAATAATCTCCTATAGTTTATTTACTTTTATCTTTACACGGTCTTACAGATTTCAGTGGAACCATATTCAATTTTGGACTAACTAACCCAAATGAGAGTGGTTTCATCATTTTGAAAATATTTAAGACCATCCAGAATTAACGATGAACAATTGTTAGTAGGTATAAAGGGCGGGTTCTAACTCAGGTCCTCTCAGGGGGGGGGGTGAGGCGCGCGGGGGATTACGGTGGCGCGGGGGAATGACGTCACGCGGGACGGAGGGGATTTCGGCGCGTATTAGATGTTTTACGGCAATATTGTATTACATGCCCGATTGATAAACAATATTGCGTACGAACATGTTCGGTTTATAAATAATATAAACAGCAGCATTTCTTTGAAATGCATCGCATGCGAGAGCAACGCGTGCGAGGGAGAGGGAACGATGGCGCGAAATTACGGTCGTCATGGATAAAAAAGATTATTTTGACAAAATGGATCTGCTGCTGAGCGACCAAGCCACTTATAAAGTTTTAAAAAAGGATCCTTTGAATAGATTGACGAATAGGTTTAATGAGTTAGTAAAATCTTGGAAAAAGAGCGGTTTAATAGGTGAATTGACATATAGAAATTTGAATTGTACAAACGGTAATTTACCGCGCTGCTATGGTTTGCCGAAGATCCATAAAGACGGTTTTCCGTTGAGAATTATTGTATCCGCGTTAGGAAGTCCGGTATATAATATCTCAAATTACATTCATAACATTTTAATCAAATCGATAAAGAAACCTAATTCATATATCAAAGATGGATGGTCCTTCGTTGACAACATTAGCAATACAATCATTAACGAAGACAACATAATGATTTTACTGTATGTCACTTCTTTATTCACCAACATCCCAAAAGAATTAGTTATGAATGCCATAAGAAACCGTTGGGTTGATATATCCAAAAATACAAAGTTCAGTTTACCTCAGTTTCTTTACGTCATAGAATTGATCATGGATTCAACTTACTTCTCTTTCAACGGACGTTTTTATGAGCAGATTTTCGGCACTCCTATGGGCTCTCCACTATCACCTATTCTAGCAGATATGGTGATGGATGATCTGGAGACTCAATGTTTAAATTCACTTAGTTTTATTATAGATATGTAGACTGCCCCGATTTATTATAGATATGTAGACGACGTCTTCGCAATCGTGCCTCGCAATAAAATCGACGAGATTCTAACTAAATTTAATAATTACCACGAACGCTTAAGTTTCACGCACGAGACTGAGATCGATTCGTCGATCAGTTTTCTAAACGTTAATGTCATTCGGTCAGGATTCAAACTTATCACTAATTGGTTTAAGAAACCTACATGGTCTGGGAGGTATATTAACTTCCTTTCGAACCACCCATTAAAATATAAAATTAATACGATTTATAATTTAGTAGACCACGCTATTTTATTATCTGACGACTGTTTTAAACAAGAAAACATTAAACTGGTATATGACACCTTAATTAATAATTGCTTTCCTAAACATATCATACATAGACATATTAAAAAGAGAATCAATTTTTTAAGTAATCGTGACCGTAATGACAACGTTGACGTTGATCTTTCTCATAGAGACAAGACTCCGATTATGGCAATACCATATGTAGACAATACGAGCCATGATCTGTACCGTCTCCTGCGAAATAATGGTTTTAATGTCGTTTACAAAATAACCAAAAAACTTAATAATCTAATTAGACGTGGTAAAGATAGATTACATAACAACGACAAGACAAGCGTTATATATAAATTAAATTGTAAAGATTGCAATCTATCATATATTGGTCAAACAAAAAGACATTTACGTACGCGAGTAAATGAACATCGTAATAATATGAAGCTACATGAGACTAATCACTCCGTAATTACCAAACATAGATTGGAAGCGGGACACGAATTTGATTAGTCGAATCCCGACATTTTACATAGCGAAACGTATGTTCGAAAAAGAGAGATTGCTGAGATGTTCTTTATTAAGAGATCAGATAATCTAATAAAATTACAGATAGACACAGATAATCTAAATAATATTTATGACAAAATAATAAAGGTCACTTAACTTGGTTTATTCTTTTAACTATGTTTAGTTTTTTGACGAAGTCTCAGACGGACACATCAGTTCTCTCAATTTCGAACTTTAATCAAATAACGTCTTTTGTTTAATTAATTTTTTAATTTCTTAATTTCTCAAATTTGTAATTTGTGACTCGTGCTGGTTTAAGTGCCATGCCTGTTTTTTATCTTTCCATCGGTAATTATGCTTACTTTTCATTTTTGTTGTGCTTAGTATATATAAAAACCGTTAATTAATGTATTTAAATCTTTCCAGTATACTTGATAAGGACCACAACCATATGGTCGAAACGTCGTAATATTTAAATAAATTAATGTTTCTTGGCTAGTTTGGTCGACTACAATTCTTTAATAATCCTTTGATTTTTAATATCCTCAAACGTTTTCTTCATTTTTGCTGTCCACACAAAGGATACATCTTTCTTGACCAAAGCTTCGAATGGTGCTTTGAGTCGATGCAAATTTGGTACAAATTTCCCGTAGTAATTAATCAGACCTAAAAACGAGCATATCTCTTATGTATTCGTCGGAGCTCGCATTGTTTGAATAGGTCGAAGACGTGCTGGGTCAGGCTCAATACCTTTAGCTGAAACAATAAATCCAAGGTATTTAACTATTGAAGTATAAAATTTATATTTTTCCTTTTGGAGTCGAAAACCCCATTCTTGCAAGCGGTTTAGCACGGCGTGTAAACGCGTATCGTGCTCGGTGCGTTCCTGACCATAAATCAGAATATCGTCAAGATAGACGAGTACGCCTGGAATATCTGTAAGTGCCTGTTCCAGCGTACGTTGGAAAATTGCAGGAGCTGGTTTTAACCCAAAAACCAACCGATTGTAAGCAAATAAACCTCGATGAGTATTTATTGTAGTTAGCTTCTTACTTTCCTCATCCAGTCTTAGATGGAAATAAGCATCAGATAAATCTAGTTGTGAGAAGATAGAACTTCCTCGAAGTTTTGCCATAAGTTCTTCTATCCCTGGGATTGGATAATCCTCCGCGTCAAGTGCGTCATTTAATCCTGTAGAGTAGTCTGCACAAATACGTATTTTCCCATTTGCTTTGCGTGCAACTACTATGGGCGCCGCCCATTCCGAAAAGTCAGCTGGCGTTAAAATTCCACTTTTAACGAGTCTATCCAGTTCTTCATTGACTGATTCTTCTAATGCAAGTGCGATTGGACGTCGTGGAATATGTTTCGGTTTCGCATCTGGTTTAAGCCGTAGATGAACTGTCATCTTGGTGCATTCTCCTGTGGAACTACTGAAAAGTTCTGTGAATTGTTTATGAAATGAATTAATCGTATTCATTGTTTGCAGATTTCCGACGACTCCTGTATCGTAGGTAATTAAGCCAAGCTCATCTATTGCTTGAAAGCTAAGTAGTGCAGTTTCTGGACGATCAAGTACGATGACTTGTGCTCTTATCACACAATCTTTGTAGCCAAATGAGGCGTTAAAAAATCCTATGGTATGTAGTGGATGTCCTGATACATTCACACATGAAGTAGTAAGAGGTTGGAGTTTTAGACGACCGATTCGTGTCCAAGTTTCTCTCCCGATCGTAGTTACGTCCATTCCTGTATCCAGCTGCATTTTCAATGGCTTGTTATTATAACAGTAATGTGCGCGAATTTGCGATACCGATGTCCTGCGCCTAGAACACCTTGTAATGTGACAGTATTTATTTTATTTCGTTGCTTCAATAAGCAAACTCTAGCAATGTGTCCCGTTTTCTTGCAGATTCTGCATGCTGCATTCTTAAACGGACATGCATCCCGTTTGTGTTTTGTGGAACCACAGCCATAGCATGGCGATAATGTAGTAGAATTTCTCTTTTTCCCGTAATGTAGTGTAGTAGGATTTGTTTTCTTTTCGTAATATTTATACCTATATTTTACCTTTCTTTTTAGGTGAATCCTTCGTAGATTGGCTGATCGCGTTGATTTCGGAGAAGCGCTGTCCTTCAACGCGCATGACGTCAGCCGTGCGGTTCGCATGTGCATAACAGATTTCTCTAATGTCTTGAAATGTGCAGTTTTCTTTTTCTGATGCAATCTTGAAGAGGACTGTTTGCTCCGTGTAGTAGGTGTGGTCGCTTAGGGCGAGAGCCGTTAGTAGAATTTTCAGCTGGTCGATATTGAAATTATCGAGTTCAAAGGCATCTTCCAGAACATTTACTTTGTCAAGTATTTCTATAGCCGTTGCTGGCGGGGAAGCTCGAAAATTGAGAGCTTCAAAACGACGTTGAAATAACGTTTTATTATCGTGGAACTGTTTTCAAAGATGTTGCACGAGATCTGCAAGAGACATCTCTTGCGGTTTCTTCGGCGATAAACGACTGAGTAATTGTTGATACTCGTCGTCCCTGAGAGCATTAAGAAGTAGCTCTTTTCTCTCCGTATCGGTTAAACCCTTCACTCCTTCCGCGAAAGTGCTTCTATGTCGTTCAAACCACAACATGAAAGTTTTACTCCTTGCAGGATCATGAACGAATTTACCGAGCCGTGTAGCCAGATTTGCGAATTGCGACGACTTTGCAGTATCGTCCGTGCCCGATATTCGATGTGATAGTATCTCTGTCATTTGCTTTTGTGACTCACCGACGTAATGTGTGCTCCTGGCTTAGCGCAGCTTCTGCTAGCGCTTGAAGTCGGTCCATTTTCTTGCAGGTTCAATAAGCCGCAGCGCCAATTGTTGTGATACGGAGTGCCAATTTGTGTTTGTTCGTTAGTTCACGAATAATGTTTAATGTCGTTGTGTCTTGTCACTATGTCTTGATTCCATGAACAGTCCGAAGTAGTAGAAGATCCGAGCACGACGTTGTGCTCCGTACACGTCACCACACTAATGCTTCTCCGACGGTCCGTCTCTCGGTCGGCCTTTTAAAGCTTCTTCTTACAGTGGTGCCGTATGCAAAGTCGTGTCATATGTATCATCGTCGTGATTCTATTGTTCCGAGCATTCCGATCCGGGTGATGCAGTCGATGCAGTCATGTATGATTCAAGTCCTGTATGATTCAAGTCATGTATGATTCACGCTCACCGGATGAAGTAACGCAATATAGCCAACAGTGACTTAATTCTGTTCGTAATAATGGAGAAAATGAAATTTGTAGGATAACCATTATTAGAAAGTACCTCAAAAATGAGTTTGAAATTATTCTCATGAAATTGGGGATGTGACAATTTAAAAATTTTGTCAGTGAGCCCAATAATTACGCCCTTTTTGTGTGCAATAGTATGTTGCGAAAAGAAGTTTAAAAATCTTCCAGAAAAAGTGAGTTTCATGTACCAATCAAATTCAATGTGATTATTGTTAATAATAATTGTTACATCCAAAAAATTAAGCTGATTATGATTGGCGATTTTCATAGTGAATTTGAGTCTTTCATGGAAAGAATTGAAAACTGTCATAATGAGATCAAGAAAGAATAAAGGCGCAATTAAAGTAATGTCATCTACATATCTGAAATAGAAAAGAAGATGAAAGGGAAGCTGTGAAATGGCTTTATCCTCCAAATCTTGCAAGACCAAGTCAGCACAAATGGGGGAAGGAGGGGAGCTCATATTCGGGAGTTCCGAATATTTGCTTGTAAATAATCCCATTAGATTTGAAAAAAGTGGAATCCACTTTTTCTGGAAGATTTCTAAACTTCTTTTCGCAACATCCTATTGCACACAAAAAGGGCGTAATTATTAGGCTCACTGACAAAATTTTTAAATTGACACATCCCCGATTTCATGAGAAGAATTTCAAACTCATTTTTGAGGTACTTTCTAATAATGATTATCCTACAAATTTCATTTTCTCGATTATTACGAACAGAATTAAGTCACTTATTCATAACAATATGACGACCCCTTCCTCTCTCTCACTTCCCATCCTTCCCCTTCTCCTTCCCATTCTTTCTTTCTTCCCTTCCCTTTCTCTTTCCCATTTCTCTTTCCTTATGTAAAAGGTGTTACCGAGCATCTTAAAGAAATTGCTGCCAAACTAGATAAATCTCTTGCTTAATGTCGTGTTAAATAAACTGAATCGTTTCATTAAAACGCATAAGGATCCATTACTGATAGATAAACATTCAAATGTTGTATACAAAATTTGTTGCAATAATTGCTCCGCTTCTTACGTGGGGCAGACTAGCAGGCAACTTTCGACTCGTGTCCGCGAACATCGATTGAACATTAATCGACCTACGAAATATCTATCAGTCTTACTCCATCATAGACTGGAGGGATATGAATTTTCATGGAACAACGTCAAAATTTTGGATCAAGATCCTTCGTTTCTCTCTTAGAAGAATTATTTCAGAAATGATTGATATTACACGACAGGACAATGGCTTATATGTTCAAAATGACACGAAAAAATTCGATAAAATTTACTTTCCTATCATTAAATCTTTTCGATTGTAAATCATCCTTTATTTCCTTCGATTTCAAATTACATGATCCGTTCCTGAATTTCTTCCACCCCGCCATCCCTCCCACCGTTATCGGGAGCCAGGCGCTTCAATATTGCGTAGCTCAGTACGTCTCGTTGTCTTGGATGAGTTACATGCCTCCTATAATTTACCAGTGTAATTGCTCTCTTTCCTGCATTTTTTTGTCGTTTGTCTAACGGGCTTTTCTACTGCTTGTATGTATTTTGTATATCTTGTGGTTTACCTTTGCCTAAATTTATCAATCATATTTCATTTAGATTTTATCTTTAAGACCACTGTATCAATTGATTAATTTTCCTCCGACTAAATAAGGACGTTAGATAAGACTGGCTTTGTATTAATAAAGGTATAATTGTATAGGAGTACAAATAAGTCTCCGCCGTTTGACAAAAGATGGCCTCACCAGTAAGTTATAGTTGAAATTGTCAGATGTAAAACGTCATATCATAAGGTTGGACATCTAGCAACACCATAACCTCGAAATATTAGCGATTTTGTATTAGCATCACATAATTTTTTTCGTGCGAAAATGTCGAGTTTTGAGCCGAATAAGCGTCATTTGCGGGAACTTTTGATTTACTTCTTTAATTTGAAGAAATCTGTAGCTGAGGCGCATCAATTGCTAGAAGCATATGGTGAGGCTGCTTTAAGTGAGAGAAGTTGTCGTGAGTGGTTTCATAAGTTTAAGAACGGTGAGTTTGACGTCGAAGACAAAGAACGTAGCGGAAGACCGAAAGTGTACGAAGACGCAGAATTGGAAGCATTATTGGAGGAAGATTCGTGCCAAACGCAAGAAGAACTTGCACTTACATTATGGGTGACTCAACAAGTAATTTCACATCGTTTAAAATCGTTGGGAATGATTCAAAAGCAAGGAAATTGGGTTCCATATGAACTGAAACCGAGAAACGTTGAACGCCGATTTTGCACATGTGAAATGCTGCTTGCCAGGCATAAACGAAAGGGTTTTTTGCATCGTATAGTCACTGGCGATGAAAAATGGATCCACTACGATAACCTAAAGAAGAGGAAATCATGGGGACCATGTGGCCATGCTTCATCGACAGCCAAGCCGAATATTCATGAAAAAAACTCATGTTGTGTATTATGAGTTGCTCAAACCGAACGAAATCATTACTGGGGCTCTCTACCGAACACAATTGATGAGATTGAGCCGAGCACTCAAGGAAAAACGCGCCCACTACTACTCCAGACACGACAAAATTATTCTCCTGCATGATAATGCTCGTCCACATGTTGCGGCGCCGGTCAAAACCTACTTGGAAACACTCAATTGGGAAGTCCTACCCCACCCGTCGTATTCACCAGACATTACCCCTTCGGATTATCATTTGTTCCGCTCGATGGCACATGGTCTGTCTGAGCAGCACTTCACATGAAGATACCAAATATCATATGAAGATACCAAAAATTGAGTCGATTCGTGGATAGCTTCAAAAGATGAAGAATTCTTCCGACGCGGTATCCGTATGCTGCCAGAAAGATGGGAAAAAGTAGTGGCTAGCGATGGACAATACTTTGAATAAAACATACCGTTCTTTCACAATAAATGCTCAATTTTTGATAAAAAACGGCGGAGACTTATTTGTACTCCTAAATTAAATTCGTGCGTTAAATTCATGCGAACCGGGCGATTACATAGGATTATCGTTTGATTCGCCGAATTTATCGCATGGTCCTGCGGCTATATCTTTTCGGTCGGCGCGTGATTTGAGTTATGAGGATATTTGGAGACTCGTGAATTTGTTAGCATAGAGCGCCAGTGGTCTCGATATCGCTGATCAATTTAACATACGGGTTTATAATGTCTCGATGCCTTCGGGTCGCGGTCGCACGTTAACACGTAAGGATGTCACGAAACGTTCGATAGTCGAAATTAATAATTCGGATAACCTGTATTTCCTTCGAGCCCTCGTAGTAGCTCAAGCTTATAGTGAGCGCGGTAATATCCGTACGGATGAGCTGCATGAGAAATGGAACGCGATAAGATATTCGCATTCTTCGTTACAACGTGAATGTGCATTACAATTAACGAGAAATGCCGGTGTCGTAATACCAGAAGGGTTATGGAATTCGAGAAATCGAACGTTTCCAACGTTATTTCGCCATCGACAATATCGCGATTAT